GAGTTAATATGTTAAGTACAAGAATATCTAACTTGAAGCAGTGCTGTCAGACTTTATGGTGATTGAAGTGAAACACCAAGAGGAGAGTAATAAGAATTCAATAATTATGTAATATCCTCATTGTTTGCCAATATATTATGTATTTGAAGGAACTTTCTGGACAGGTCTAAGAAATGACAGTAACTCATCTATCATCATCGCGGAGAACCTAACGGGTAACCGGGGCTCCGGCTCGACGTGCAGGAGAAGGAACGGGGTGGTTTTTAGTCAGTAAGAGTCTGACACTCCCTCCCGCCTCACCCAGGCGGGGGCAGTCATTCGATGATTTTCCCCCCTTAAAAAAAAAAAAAAAAAAAAAAAAAAAAAAAAATACCTGCTTCTTCTTTTAACAAAGAAACAGCCGGCGACAGCTTAGCCCCATTCATAAATGGGCACCCATCCAATTGGATGTTCATGTGTGCTGTGTTGTTCCTTATCTCTATGTCAAACATTCAGATTTATTCTGTAGTTTTTTGTAGTACAGTAAGAAACATACATACATTCATCCTCACAAACTTTTGCATTTATAGTAGAAGTGGGATGTTGGACTTGTGTTTTATGTACCTATTTGGAGAAAAGGAAAGAAATTGATGACATAATTATAAATGTTTAAGCAGTAATATTATGGCAGGTGACGCTACCCGCCGGGCGGCACAAGATGGTGATCCTGGACGAGGCAGACAGCATGACGGACGGCGCGCAGCAAGCTCTGCGGCGCACCATGGAACTGTACTCGCACACCACGCGGTTCGCCCTCGCCGCCAACAACTCCGAGAAGATCATCGAGCCCATCCAGTCTCGCTGCGCCGTGCTGCGCTACTCGCGCCTCACGGACGCCCAGATCATGGCCAAGGTCAGTGGGGCGCGCTGACTCTCCTTGTGATGTCATGTTACACGACTCTCTTCCATGAAGTAACGATAATCTTGTGCACTAGGTGCTGGAAGTGTGTGAGAAAGAGCAACTGTCGTACACGGACGAGGGCGTGAATGCGGTGGTGTTCACCGCGCAGGGCGACCTGCGGTCGGCGCTGAACAATCTGCAGTCCACGGCGCAAGGCTTCGGCCACATCAGCGCGGAGCACGTGTTCAAGGTGTGCGACGAGCCCCACCCCATGTTTGTGCGCGCCATGCTGGAGGCCTGCCTGCGCCAGGACGTGCACGAGGCCTACAAGGTCGTGGCCAAGCTGTGCAAGCTGGGCTACGCGGCCGAGGACATCGTGAGCAACATCTTCCGCGTGTGCAAGACGCTGGACGCGGACGAGGCCACGCGGCTGGCGCTGGTCCGCGAGGTGGGGCTGACGCAGCTGCGCGTGGCGGACGGGCTGGGCTCGGCGCTGCAGCTGGCCGGCCTGCTGGCGCGCTGCTGCCGGGCCGCCGCCGCCCACTGACCCAGCTCGTGGCGGACGGGCTGGGCTCGGCGCTGCAGCTGGCCGGCCTGCTGGCGCGCTGCTGCCGGGCCGCCGCCGCCCACTGACCCGCGCACTTAACTATGTATTATCTTTTTATTTCTTGTAACTTGAGAGGAAAGGCCTAATTACTTTTGATAAAACCACAGGTCTTATTTTCTGTATGCTAAATACTAATCTGTCAAGAAAGTACCGGGAAAAGATCAATAATACTCAAAATGTATGTTTTTCATTCACATTTATTTTATTACCTTCAAAGTATGCACCTTTAGTAACGATACACTTGCGCCAACGAATCATCCATTCATCAAACAATTTTTAAACGCTGCTTCCGGAATTGAGTTCAGTTCTCGCCGCGAATTCTCCTTTATGTCTTCTATCGATTGAAAACGGGTGCCACGAATTGGTAATTTGAGTTTAGGGAAAAGAAAAAGTCAGCAGGAGCCATATCTGGTGATTATGGTGGTTGCTGGATGGTATTTGTTGAGTGTTTGGTCAAAAATTCGTTCACAATGATAGCCTTGTGCGAAAGCGAAATTTAAGAATTTTCTTTCTACAAATCTGGCCCATTTCATCGAATTTACTCTCTTAAACGCATAACGCTCAAATAATATTCTTTATTTACCGTTAGACCTTCCGGTAAGAATTCAGAGTGTAAAACACTGCGATAGTCAAAGAAAACGGTGAATATGACTTTGACTTTTGATCGACTTTGGCGTGGTTTTTTCGGTTTTGGTTCAGCTGGAAGGCGCCACTCCAAAGCTTGTTGACTAGTTTGCATGCCAAACTCGTAAACCCACGTCTCGTCACCACTAACAATGTGTTTCATGAATGTTGGGTCCGAACTGACACGTTCTAGCATGTCCTCAGCCACTTTCATGCGATTGAGTTTTAGGAGAAAATTTCTGAATTTTCTCCTAAAACTACAATCTTATGGGACTAGTCGAGTAGCAACATGTTTCATACCCAAATGATTAGTAACCCTTAAAGTGACGTTGTATATTATAGTATACGTCTTAGTTTAAAAAAATATTACTTAACTTCGGAAAGGTGTATTACCATGATTTAGATAGAAATCACATTTCTGAACATTTATTTTGATATCAAAATAACACTTTACAGATAATCTGTGGTAAATTCAAACTAGTTGTCAAAAAATAACGAACACACCGAACTCAGAAATTTTTGTCACGGTAAGTTTTATTCATTTTCGTTATAATATTACTCATGGCACATTTCTAACGCATGAATCGAAAAGGTAAAGAGTTATACAAAGCATTTTGTTGCTTGAGGTACCTACAAATCGCCTATCTTGGATTATATTTACTTGTTTCTTACTATGTATGGTATACTATACAGTGCTACAAACGCTACTACTTGCCATCATTTTTATTTGTATAGCATACTATACATAGAACTACCGGCGCGGCGCGGAGTGCAAGTCACTCGTATAAATATTATTGATATTAATTCGATAATCCGGAGTGGGATGCTAAAAACTGTGTTAAAGTTAATGTTTTGTGTTAATGTAAACATAGACTATGGAGAACAATTATAAAATTAGTGATAGTGAGTGTTTTTGACGCTTTTTCCAACCAAATATTTTGTGTTGTGTTCCTTGAAGTGAGTGACAATAACAAAGCGCGGGTGGCGCGAAACTGTCGCAGCGCGCTCTTTCACTCTCGGGCAAGTGAGCTAACTGTGTCTCGCTCGCGCTGTACTGTCGTGGAATTCTTGGAATTTACAATGAATTGTGCAGGCTGTAATCGAAAAATTGATGCAGGGGATTTGATTAAATGTATTGGGTGCAAATCCTGTTATCACTATAAATGTGTCAATATTACCACGGCCGCATTTAGGGAAGGCCAAGTACAATTAAAGCGGGCTTTTAAATGTCAATCGTGCGCTAATGTAACCCAGCGTATTCGAGTTACCGATGATACACCGGTGCGCGGAGTCAGTGCCGCTGTCGGTTTGGTATCAGATATCATGGAGCAGAATCAGTCTTTCGAGGATGGAGTACAGACCACGTTACAGTTAACATCGGATGACTTAGTAGATAAAGTAAGCAACTTAATCATGGCAAAACTTAATGCTTTCGAACTGAATATTCTAGAGGAAATTAAAAATACAGTAGCTGTCCTGGCCGTCGAAAATAGTAAGCTCAGGCAGGAATTGAATGATGCGAATAAGAAATGTAATGCTTATGAACAGCAAATTAAACGTATGAGATCTGAGAGTTCATTATCTAAAGAAAATAATGTAAAACGTTACATCGATACTTGTACTACAATGTCTTCAAGTGTACCAACGCACACACCTCCAAGATATTATGATGGTAACACGCCAGGATTGCCACGCATGAATAATAACAATGTCCAGGCGGCTGCGCTGCCGGAGCCGAGTCCTGCGGTGACCAGTTACGCGGAGGTGGCTCGGAAGGAAGCGTCACCAAAAGTAAATTGCATCATAGATAATGAGTGGATTGAAGTTAAAAACAAAAGGAAACCTGTAAGAAGAGGTGGCAATAATTCAATCGCTACTTTAAAGGCGGTAGAACGTAGAAAATTTTTACATGTGTGGAGACTGGAAAAAACCACAACGGAAGATCAGTTAAGGGAGCATATCAAACTGACACTGGGCGATGACTCAGAAGTTATTGTCGAAAAACTTAAACCTAAAACGGATCGTGACTATGCCTCATTCAAAGTGGGGGTAACAGTTAGTAATTTTGAAAAACTTTGTGACCCAGATGTTTGGCCACTAAATGTAGAATTCAGTGAGTGGATCTGGTTTCGCCCCTCATCCAAACCAGACAAACTACAAACCGCGTAGACATGTCAGCCTACTGTACCAAAACGTCAGAGGGCTACGCACTAAGACGACACAGTTCTTGTCGTTGCTGGGATCGTCGGAGTCGGAGTTATTCGCTATTACGGAATCTGGATTAAACGAATCAATTCGAGACGCCGAATTCTTACTTCCTGGTTACCAGGTAGTGAGATGCGACAGGGCGGACGGCCGAAAGCAGGGAGGTGTAATGGTGGTGGCTGGACCTAGGTTCCAGCTGCGACAAGTGTTTGTGCCAGGTGATGTTGACATCAATAAATGTAAGTTTGAACTAGTTTGTACTGCTATTTATATGAATAACCGTTTCTTATTTGCGTGTTGTGTTGTTTACATTCCACCATTAACAGATGAAAATGAGTATATGTTGATGTTTAATATTTTAGAAAAATGGTGTGTTAAGTACAAAAACAATTTTATATTATTAGGAGACTTTAATCTACATTCGTGTAATAATGGAATTGTTAACTATTTTGAATATTTTATGTCATTTTGTGAATTCACTCAGTTTAACACGGTTCCAAACTGCAACAACAGACAGTTAGACCTCGTACTGAGCGCAAGGGCAGGCGTGTCAGTGTCGGTGTCTGCGGCGGACGAGGGCATGCTGCCGGTTGACGAGTACCACCCGGCACTGGCCGTC